GAGGGAGGGAGGGAGGGAGGGAAAGAAGACAGAGAGAGACACTGGACTGGCTAGGATGCCTGGAGTTTCGGCAGACGAAGCCCAGGTTCGTCATGGCAAACCTCAAGTCGAAGCTCGAGCTTCGTGGACTGAAAAGTAACTGCCCGGTTCCATGGCGTGCTGGGGTATCATGGTGTAGTTGCGCCTGATAGATCAGCAAGAGTCCTGAAGATTCTCCGTCATTGATCTCCTCGAGAAGCTTTGCAAGCGACCTGCACGAAATCAACGGGCTTCCCTGGCCCTAAACATTATGTGCTGTTATGCCGCAAATTATGCCCTTAGGAACGGTGTTGCGGAGCCTTACATCGACACCGCTTGCGAATGGATCCAGGCTCTTTACGCAATCGCTGAGTCAAGTTGAACTGACACATCCGGCTGCTGTGCCGGTCCTCGAGTTAGGGCACGAACGAAGAACAGGGTGCAGTTAGCGAGATCTCGGCACGGAGCTACGACCACGACATCCTTGTAAGGGGCTCTGCATGGATGAGTGCTCCACTGCCACTGATGCATCATGTGAACGAACGGACGTCGGCAGTGTTGTGAACGCTTCCAAGACCTGGACATGGCGGCAGGCGAACGTGGATAAGGTGCAGAGCTGGATCCCATCCCCTGTCGAGTGCTCGCCCGGTACAGGCCGGATCTTCGGTACGTGAAATGCCGTTCGGTTGTGGCATTCCAGTCGAATGGGAGAAGGCTCATGTGGAGCTTTTGTTTGGCGGCTTTTGCGGCTGGCATTGGGCTTGGTATCCAGGCATCTAGGTGAAGGCTTGTCGAAGCTTGCTGCTCCTCCATGTGCCAGTGTGCAGTTCCTGCCCGGCGCCAGGGGTTCGAACTGCAGACGGTGGCTTTGACCCATCTTCTTTGGAGGCCTTTGGCTCTTCTTCGACCAACATGTCATGGGGTTTATTCGGGCTTTGGCGAGTGCATATAGCTTTGCAGTATATTCGGAGGCCTGCTTCATACTTAGTTTTGGTTACAGTGCTGGTGCTCTAAATGTCTTGTAGAGCCAGTGCACACTATGCACTCCGCATAAACCTTGCCAATCTGAAAAGCATCAAACGCAACTGTGACGGAACCAATCGAAGTCTGCCGAAGGATGCAGCCTATTGCGAGTGGTGCCCGCCAGGCGGGAACAGACAGCCCGAGCAGAATATACCATCTCTCTTTGAATTCTGTTGGCATTTGGAAACAAGCTGCGAATGAAATTCTTGGCTCAACTTCAACCAGAGAGATAGACAGACAGAGAGACTGTGTGATACGGCATTAGCAGACGAATAGGGTCGATTGATAGATCGCTCGTGGGATTGTCCAGCAAGACTTTGTTCAACTTGCATGGGCGGCTCTCAGACAGATCATTCCGGGTCTGCGGCGGTTGTCACATCTCACCACATCCGATTGCCCTGCTGCCGGGTCTGGCAGGTGAGACGCTGAGACGACATCCTTTGCATGCGGCAATAGGTAAATACCCCCCAGTAATTGCCAGCAAAGATGATTGCAGCAGCGGTGTTGGATGCGAATCCGGCCATGCCATACCGGCGCATGTGCTGTAAAAGAGCGATTGTGGCCACTGTGTGGACCAGGCTTGAAATAGGACAGTACCAATAGCACCTGCCTCCAATCAATCGACAAGGCACTCGGCATTCGATTCTGCTGCATATCTTCCCTCGTGCGTATTCTACATGCCGCTACTGCAGGGCTTGGCCGGCAGCTATGAAGAAATGGAATATCAAGCCGCTCAAGACAAGAAGAAACCAGGCTGAGCTCTGCACAGTCCCGTTGTTGATGCAACTCAATCCTCACCACGAACTTACCACGGCAGCTGGCGCATGAGACGGAGGTCGTGTGTGATGAAGCACCGAAGGCAATCTTTGCCTGTCATTCAGCCATCGTGCATTCGAGTTAGTATCTCCAGCTCATGGATGTCCTGCACAATGAACCAACTGAGCAGCTGAAGCGCAGTGTGTTCCGCAGCCAAATTCAGGCCATTCGTGCAGGTGCCGAACCAAGACCAAGACAATCCTTGGAATTGGAAAAGGAATAATGCCGGGGAACATTGGCCTCGTGGGAGTGCGCTTTTGCTGTGCTATTTTTGGGCACCTGTGCACCCACAACAAGCGAACACACAGGAAATCCACATTCCCGAGATCCCCAAATCAGTGTGACGGGCCTTAGAACAGAGACACGGCAACCAAACAAGCAGAACAACGCGGAACATCCGGTACAAAGTAAAACTGTTCAGAAAAGCAATCACAACCGCCGCAACAAGCCACACAAGCAGCAACGCCTTCAGAAACAAAATCAATTTCCGCAGGACTCTCAGACTTGGCGCTCTGTGCCCGGAAGGTCTCAGAATAGTGTTTAGTTACAGTTTAGTTGTGTTCCTTGCTTCTGTGGGTATGTTATTCAATGTGTTTCTATGTCTTGACTCTTTTGGTTAGCTGGCCCATTCTGTGGTCGTGTTGCTGGTTTCCACGTGCTGCCTTTTTGCCGAATTGACTGGTGGTAAACAAGCAATAAATTGCCTTCACCGCTGCTGCAAGTGTGCAGCGCACTCTCGCGGTGACTCGGGCACCATCTGTGCATGTATGTACGTACTCTATGCTACACTTATGTCGGTACATTTCTGTAGCATATCAGTGAACCATGGTTGCTGGTTCTGTGAAGACAGACCCTGCCAAAAGCACACTCACGCAGCCTTCCGGTTTCTGTTAAGTGCAGATTATATCGATGGCGTTTCGAATGTCTCGGGCATCTGACCGACCTGTCCACACCTTACTTCGTGCTTAGCGTGAGGGGTGTTAGGGTTTTGATTCGTGCAGACCTCACCCTCACCTATCATGTTGCAATCTTATGCGGTGTCTTGTGGCCATTTTCAGGCCTTTGGTGCTTGGTGTGGTGCCTTAATGGTACCTCTGATTTGTGGGGCCTTGTGCCTGGGGGGTTTTGGTGGCCTTGGAGCCTTCGTGGGGCCTTGGTTTTTACTTTGGTGGAACCTTGAGTGGGGGATAGCCAGCGCTGCTATTGTAATGATTGTGTTTTGCTAGTACTTGTCTGTTTTGTTCAAAATGCTGACCTGTCTACCATGTCTTGCTCTTAGCTCTGCTTTACTATGCTAATGGACGGTGTGTAAAGTGATAGATACTAACTACTAACTCTGGTCATACCGGATTTGGGTTGCATTGCTGACATGTGCTCTGGGCTCCAACCTACTCGTTACTAGGCATCATGATGTGCTTTTGGAAGCTGAATCTGGAACGTATGGTTTCTCATGTTTCAGGTCATGCATCCCAGAAGTGCGCTAGACGACTGTATATCAATGGTGCGGCGGAGTCTGGCTTTGACGAGCTCCGGCCGCCTTGGTTTAGCGATGCATGGAGGTGGACAGTTCTTTCATGGTGGAGTGGCTTGGCGCTGTCATGTAAAGTGACTGGGGCCCCATGCTGGCTTCGCTTCTGTGGCGGGGCGATGGTGGATAGCGATGCGGATTCCGATGGGGATGGTGAGCAAGACGTTGATGGTCCTGGATGTCTATATATGTTCAGACGACATGAGGCGACCTCACGGCCTGTGGGACTGGAACCTCTCAAACCCTGCCGGGCTGGCCTTCCCCCGCGGGGCGCACCGGATGTACACATCTCCGGGCCTCGCATCTTCAAACTTGTTCAAACTTCGTCATTTCTACGCGCAGCTCTACATTGCATAGGTTTGGTCCAATTGGTTTGCTGGCAAACGCGACAAACTTTACGTATGCCTTTGCTAAAAACAGCGAGCTCGCACTGAGCAGTTCAGATGGGTCGTGTTATGTGTTCGCTGTTTGGCTTTAGTGCTTAACAATACTCGCGCTGTAGCTGCAACAGCGCTTCCAACTCAAATGCATGGGATGTAGATTTCAAACTGCTCGCTGTTCCATGTAGACTTGCATGTTTCTTATGAGAAGATGCATTTCTACCACTACTTAAGTGAGTGTGATTCATGATTAATATATATATATATATAAATATTTATTTATTTATTTTTGATTTATTTATTTATTAATGTATTGCCTCGATGAGCACACCGCATTAATAGGTGCACAACTTGTATATTACATGGCGGCAGGACATCTTCATCGCGATAGGGCATGTTGGCGCGGTAGAGTACTATAAAGCCTGCTAAGCACGAAGCTGTACACAGCTACATTGTCTGACGATAACGATTGTGCGATCGGAAACCGCCCATGCACCCCGCCACTCGTCCACCTACCCACCCGTGTACGCATACCCGCGCGAGCACGTGAGGCGTGGGAGAGGTCAGCATTAGATATTCATGCGCTATTATTGGGCACGGCCGGATCCCAGATCCAAGACAGGCTTCAAGCTAGTACATAGTATTATCTAGCTTTGGGCTCCGCGACAACTTGTTGGGCTAGTTTGGGTTTTGGACCGCCGGGGTATGTCATGCAGTTTTTGAGCAGTGCAAGCATTCAGTAGTATTTTCGGTATGTACAAGCCGTCCCGTCCCTGCATGCCTTCTGAGAGTCACTGAAGCCCTATACAGAGAGCAAGAGGAGCACAGTGGAGTATGCTCCACTCACTTCCGGGTAGACGGCGTACTGTCTTTAGCATCTCAACGGGCAGTTATGTCAGGCTTGCGTAGATCGGAAGCACGCAGGCCGTTTCTCGGACGCTGTGCGATTGGGTTCGGTGCAGACCTTCAAGTCCGCGGCTCAGCTTCTGAGATTCCCATCCGCCTCGCATGCCCGGGCCCGGCCCCCTGAGGCCTTTAATTCTGTTGTGGGCTCAATGCAGCAGCATGTCAGATGCTGGCGCCTGTATTCCCCAGTCTTTTATGTGAGCAGGCGGTTTTGGAAAAAACAAAAATACGCTTTTAGACCGCTGTGATGGCTTGGAAACAAACAGCAAGTGAGCCACGCATCACACCGAACACTTGTCAGATACCAGCGCAATGCGTGGTTACATTGCATCATCCATCAATCGGCGTATACCAGGCCGATCATTCGGCCCGGCACCATCGGCAAGAAGCAAGTCGTTGATGCTCAACTAAGCAAATGCGAAACTCTAGAGCACCTTGACCCAGTCTTGCACGTCAATCACAGTCATGCGGGCGGCAAGGACGTACATTGCGCGTTTGGGAGGGTTCAATCGTCTTGTGCCGGGACTTCGTTCCAGGGTTGGTCTGCGAGCACAGGACTGGGATGGTGGGCAGTTGAGAGTTAGAATGGTGGTCGGACAGGCTCGGTCGCTGCAAGGGGACACGTTCATGCTTGTCCTTTTACGACGATGTCACCTTGACTTTATGTTCGGTCCGTCAGTCTCCGAGGTGCGAGAGTTGTCCGGCGGGGCAGAAGATGGCCGTGGGGGGCTCGACAGCATGCGAAACCTGCCTGGCCCTCGGCCATCGCCAGGCCAAGCCTGTGAAAGACTTGCATGACCACAGAAACCTGCCTGAATTTACAATCTCAGTTTGTCTGAGCTTCCTGAGGCGGGGTTGGAAGCTTCAGCAGCAGCCCTGGACAGACGGATTGCAAGCTGCGCCTCGGCCCGCGGAACACGCATTTGACACTGGTGGCACTGTATGATGGAAAGAAAGACATGTTGAAGGCTGTCACCAAAGCGTCATGAACTAAAGAACGCACCACCCACACCGCCCTACAAGGGTGTTGCCTAAACACGATGGAAGTGTAGATTCTCGATCGGCACGGCCAAATAAATGACCTGTATACTTGCAGACAAATTGTAGGGCTCGCTACCGATCTGCCGCACCCCCCAAGCCTCTTCGCTTCGCAATGCAAAACCTTCAAGCTGGCACCCCGCAATCGCAACCCACACTCCACCAACAGCAGCTAACGTCAATCAGCTTTCGATGATTTTCCAAGTGGTTGCACTTTTTCACAGTCGTAAGTTTGACAGTCGTGGAAGCATCAGCCAGGCGGATGAGGTGCAGTGTCACAAGCCTGTCGTCGTAATTACTATGGCTTTCCTTTTAGACGGGGTTTGAGGGTTGAGGTTGGCCCACATTCACTGCAACTGTTAGCACTATGGTCCACTATGGTCAAACTCCAAAACTGAAAGTTCTCTTGTAAGTGACGACACGAGAACCGCACTCATGCATTCAGGTGTCCGATTGGGACTTACATGGGCCAACGGGGCGCCTCGCAATGCGACCGGTGCCCGTCCCCCATGGTCACCGTGCAGGCAAATTACAGCACTTTACGCACCGTCGTCTGACTTTAGTCGAGCAGCAGGATGCAGCACCACCATCGGTTGCGTCGCATCTAGGACTACATAGGTGTGCTGTTGGTGGTACAAGACTGACGATGAAAGGTCTAGGACATCCTGGCAATCGTTGGGCCCGCGGAAATTGCATCCGACACCGTCCTACACCTAGAGCCCACACAACCCTAAACCGCAGTGTGACAGAACATGGAAACAACGCTTCTATAAGCTCGTGCTGAGTGACATGTTGTGACCATTGCGACTCTCCAGCCAGCTTAGCACCAGCAGCCAAGCTGGGGCACCACTGTTTCACCTGTTGAGGAAAAGGCGTTTGTGTGGAGGGCATATTGTTGGAGAGACGCATTCTTCGATTTCTGCACATTCGGAGGGAAGCCGCGAGATTTGAGCGGCGTTTGCTTTGCACACGTTTACAGATTGCAGAGTTGGAACAACTCGAAGAGCAAGGCACAGCACAAGGATGCCCGGGAGCATTCTATTCCAAGCCTAAACCACAAAATCGCATCCAGGAAGGCAGTTTGGCCGAGACTGAATGCCTTTGCCCAGAAAAGTTCCTGGGCAGCACGCTGTATAGTGCCTCCTGCACGATTGTTCCAGTGATGGACAGCTTATGTCGAGTTGACCTTTCTAAGTTACGTGCGTCCCTGCCAACTTCGAAGTGCCCCAAATGGCATGCGCTGCCCGGCAGAATGAAGTGCAGCGAGCCACAGGTGTCAGCTGGAGTTTCATGGGTTCGGTGGCATTGCACGGATGGGTGAGGTGTCTGATAGTCAGCTCGCTCAAACGGGTGAAGAAGTGTGGGAACTTGGTTAACAGAGCGAAGCGTCACATGATTCTGCATGATTGCTGTGACACCTCCTGCGACGGCAACCCTGCAGCACGTTGGCGAGACTAGCTCGTCCGCGGATATTTAGTGCTTTTGCACTGGCGACGTGCTGAGGTGCCGGGTGTACTTGTGATCCTTCCGTGGCTTAGCAGCACGTGCTTCGGAAGCTTCTCAAGTACGGACACACTGCCCCGAAGTTCACACTCACTGAAGAATGCTGAAGAACGGAACCGCCCTGAATATCACGAACATGGGATTCCGCACGATGACAATGAGTTTGCACCGGTGGTGGAAGCATTGATGTCGCGCTTGGACCATCCTACAACACCGAATTTCAGAGTACACTCTTGAACCGTTAAGTTGCGCAAGTTGCCATCTCTGAAGCACTCGAAAGGTCCATGTCAAGTTCACGTGGACGCATTGACCGCCGCAGGGGCTGGCAATTGTCCAGCTCAATGAAGTCCTGTTTCACATGCCCCAGTGCTCTAAACTGGCTCGAGTCGGCTCGAGGTGTACCATCCGCCCACCAATGCCTTCTGCATCCCGTGCCCGTCTCCAGACTTCTTGCAGTGCCCCGGCTCCAGGTTTTCAGAGATGCGAGACTGTGTTGGTGCCACCTTGAGCCAAGCCTGAAAGCCGAAAGATCCAGACCAGCTCGAGGAGTTTTGACTCAACGATGTCTCCCACAGAAAGGTTTGACGAGGCCACGAACCAAGTGTGGCCCCTTCAATCTTTTTTGCAGCGTGTATAAGTACTAGCTGAATCCAGGCTCGTCCTTGAATCGCTAGGAGGCTGGCCTAGCTTTTCCGATGTACTGAGTCCAGAGATGACCTTAAATCCTACCCCGAAGCACGAGCAAGGTGCGGGATGGGCACAGACGAAGTCGACCCTTAGCACATGGAAGTGACGGGCTTGTAGCTACCGGGTCTTCGGCCCTACTGCTTGCTGATTGCAGGGAGGGGGCTTCCCTGTGACAAATGTTCCCTGTGGGGCATGCTGAACCTAGTGCCGGCTTTGGGGTATATCGGCCAGTCCCTTTGACAAAGGCCTGAATCCTATCGGCACCGGAAGTCCTTTCCAGGATCAGGGGTGCTGCTGGGGTTTGCTACAGATGAAGCCGGTTGAGCTCGTGAAGTGATTGGACGCGGCTTTCGCAAGCTTCGTTTGGGGGACACAAGAGACTTGCTTGATTTGCGAGCAGGTTTGGTCAGCTGAACGTGGACGGCTGTTGTCTGAGTCAAAACTTTGTGGTGGAGTGCCAACGAGCTCGCGTTGCAATCTAAGGATTTGCCTTGCTCCAGCGCTATGGAGAATGTGTCCCTGAACTACCCGCGACCAAAACCAGGGTCGCTCGGAGCAAGTCTGAGGATGTATTAGATTATTCCATCTTCCTCGAATGCAAACATACACACGGCCTCAAAGCACCAAAGAGTCAGTTCCCCGACGCTTCAAACAGATGTTGAATCCTCTGCCACTTGGCAGATAATCGCCCTCCACTCATACTGCAAAATCGGATTCGCGGCAACAGCATCGCATAAGTCAGAGGCTCGAGCCTTGCTAGAGTCCTGGAGGTGAGACTGCGAAGGGTTAAAGGTTTTCAGGCTTAGGCCTTTGGAACAAAGCAATGGTTGCTCACTCCTGGAACCTAAATCTTACACCCACAGCGTGCAACCCTGGACTGTCGGGATTAGGGCGACTAGGAGGTTAAATGGGGAAAGGGCTTTCTGTCGTCTGAAGTTGGGGCCTTAGTCAAGCGCTGCAAGTCATGCCGGGGTCGATAAAAAGCTTCGAGAGGTACTACACCTCTTTCGAGAGGCCGCTGCAAGTCTACAAATGCAAGGCTGGGCTCGATTCGGAAAATGCCGGGCGATTCGACTCAGAGCGATCGACATGTGCAAGCAAAAGCTTATGAGAAGTCAGCTCTCCAGAAGTTCTTCGTGTTTACACCTCTCGGTCTGTGATACCTTTGCGCGCATGTTGCAACATGCCTGACGTTAGATGTTCACCGCAAGCCAGGACAACATCATTTGTCCTGGCAACGCAGTGGGGCTTTGCGCAGCCAACGTTCCTCGGCTTGCTGCATCCAAGCTTAACTAGTCGGCATTGCGGCTCTCTCTGAGAAGTCCAAGATGCTATCTGCAGCTCTCTCCACGACATCTGACTTGTACCTTTCCGGTGTTTCTGTTCGGTCGTTCCCGGAGGTGTCCAGTAGAGTTGCACAGTTCACAGCAGCTTCAAGCCTCTCACTCCCCCAACGGCAGCAACGGGTTCCCCAAGTCGGAAAGTGCATCTGGCGGCCAAAGATAGCTGCCGCAGCATTGACTCTGGCCTTCGCTTTTGTGGTCCATGCAGTCGCCCGATCTGCCTTTGTCAGGCGCATGGTCTTGCTTGCGGTCTTTGCGAGGCGCGGCGGGAAACGCTCAGCCGCACCTAAGCTTTGAACGAATGCACCCAAGAAGCTCGCTCATGCAGAGTCAAATCGAGAATCCATGGGAGCCTTGTGTTTGTGAGGTCCGTTCCAGCAGCCAGAGTTGTAGGAGCCCGTTGTATCCCGAGGATTGAAGATACCGCGACCTTGACCTTGCCATGATGAGAACTTCGCTTGTAGTGACATAGAAAAGTCCTCTTCAAGAGGCAGGAAGCCCTGCCCTGCTAACAGGAAGGCTACTACAGGAGTGTGGACGGCTACTGTGTCGAATGCCACAGCCTCAGAAGCCGCTGTTACTCGCTTCCAAGCAGCAGAAGCAGCAGCAGAAGTCCCCGAAGGCGGTGGTGTCTTCAAGATGCCGTTCGTCCCAGTTGCTTCAATGATCCTCGTGCCTATCGGTCTCATGGCTCCTCGGCTGTTGTTTACGCCTCTGCGTGCGTTCCCCAACACCCCGCAAACCCCAGCGACAGCCGACAGATAGTATCCTGAGGTCATGATCAGGCTCGGCGGAAATAACGACGTCACAAAGGGACAGCTGCTTCACCTGCATTGCAGTTCAGGGTACCTGCGCGTTGCCATTGTTGTTTCGACTGCTATGCCCTCGCTTCCTAATGGAGGGCCTATTTTGCGGCCGTTGTTTGATTGCTGGAAGCGTTCTCGTTTAGTAGTAGTCGTCGTCGTAGTAGTACTTGTTCTTGTTGTTGTTGTTGTTGTTGTTGTTGTTGTTGTGGTTGTGGTTCTGGTTGTCGTTGTCGTAGTCGTAGTGGTATTGGTAGTGGTAATGATTGGTGGTAGCAGTGGTAGTGGTGGTATTAGTAGTAGTAGCAACGGTCGTAAAAGTAGTAGTAGTAGTAGTAGTAGTAGTAGTAGTAGTAGTAGTAGTGGGTAGTAATAAGTAGCAGTAGTAGTAGTAGTAGTAGTAGTAGTAATAGTAGTAGTAGTAGTAGTACTAGTCGTAGTAGT